TAAAACCCAACTCTCATGCCATTAGAAAGAGGATCATGAAAAACCTATAAAAAGATGGTTCATGAAATTTTAGTTCACTCATAAAGCTAAAGTCCGCTTGCTCTAGCAAAAAATGCCCACTGTGCTACATGTATATAAAAAGTGAAGTTATTCTCTAGGAAATGTTGTTGCTTTTATTGACTAATAGCTGCATTGTCTTAGGCTAAAACAGTGTATTCGTTATATACACACATGTTTTGTTGAATTGCGGGCATCTTACCATTCCCACACACGTATAGATTTATCGTCAGATGTCGATACAATTCGACGATTTCTGTCAACAAATGTCACCGTATTAATTGCATCGGTCTGATTCATTAAAGTTTTATCCAATGAAATCGTGATTGTTCGTTCCATATAATATTTTTTCCTTTTTGGAGTGGGACATTTTTTTTGGGCCTGTTATTTGAAGCCAAAAGGAAACAACGGTAATTTGATGTGATGTACGGTGAGATAAGTTATAAGCAGAAAACTCAAACTATAATTTATGTAAAAAGATCCATTGATTGTAGATGTATTGCGCTTATACTGTAAAATTCTACTATGACGTTGATTCCACTATCAAAAAATCCCTTACGACAAAAGTTACTATTAATAAAAAGACTAATAACAATTTGGTTTAGACGAAGTAGTCAGTTCTCTTAAAAGATCAAAGAAAACATTTTCAATCACTTTTCTCAAATCTTTCTTCATTCTAAATTTCTCATTCTTTGTATTTAAGATTGTGTGAAATCTATTATCTGAAAAAGTAACATTGCTACACTTTTGGCTACCAAGTGTAAAACAGGGAAAAAGTAATGATACAGTTAAAACTTATTATGAATGTACTAATGGTACGGTGAAAAATAGTATCAATGATTGTCTCTGAGACTGAACTTCTGTGATGATGATGCCTTTTTCGAGAAAATCGATCTGTTCTTTTTCGTTCGCTAAAATGGAAAAAGCAGTGTGAGTGCTGAAAGTGCTAAAAATAAAAATGTTTTTCTTCCTTAAATCAACCTTTATCGTTTACTTTTTTAGATAACACCCTAAAACTTCATTTTCTTCAAAATGTTAGCCTTGCAGGCTTATGATGATGATGATGATCAAACCAATACTACTGATAATGACAACGAACAAATAATGCCCACTACTACAAATTTTGAGGATGAGAACAAGATCACTGATCCATCATTTTCTATTATGTCAAAAATTAGACTCAATTTAACTCCAGCTGTTATTATTCAAGTATGTTATAGTGCACAACCATCCATTTCATCGCCACTTAGCACTATTTTTCATTTGTATATTTTTTAGCCTGAGAATACCACAAATTTTCTCGATATTAAAACCAAATTAGTAACATTTAATCCAAAGTACGAAGATATGTACGCACCGGTTGTAAGTATACATCTTATTCCTATTAGTAGAGATAAATATGTTATTAGATTAACTTTTTGAGAAAGAATTGAAATCAACACGATACGTTTGCGAGTTACTTTTTCCACTATGTGTATAGCATTAAACTATCGTTAAAATATTAAACTGAACCTATCATTTTGTTTAGTTTGGTCCTGAAAATCCACATCTGAATCAACAACAACGTGCGTTTAAAAATATGCTTAGTGGTCATGTTGAATCGGCCAGTGTCAGTGATTTTCTCTTTGAAAATCAACGTCGAACGTTTGACAGTTTTGGCTATGCAGCTGATCCGAGTGTTGAAACACATACAACAACCCATTTGGTTGGAGATCTTATTAATGCAGATATTAATGAAGGTAATATTATTTATTTAAAGAAGAAAAAGAAATATATTTGACATCATTTCTTTCTTTTTAGGAGTGACGGTATTTGAAGCAACAAGAAAACGTCTGGCAGATAAACGTAAAAAGGAAAAAAATTATGATTCAAGTGATGTGGAAGGATTTCGAGGACCGTGGGCACCGTTTGTCGATGAAGTTAAAATATCACGACCAACAGAAGTAAGTACCATAGTATCTTCTATATAGCAAGTATTTAAGCTTTTCGCCTATAGGACGAACAAAAAGAATTGGATCAGCTATTATCAAAACGTAAAAAACGTGCTCGTATTAATGAACAAAAGGATGAAGAAGAAGACAATACAAATAAGACCATTTTACACATTAAAGATCCGTATGATTATCAAGGACGATCATTTTTACACATACCACAAGATGTGGGAGTTAATTTGAGATCTGATGAACCACCACAACGATGTTTTATACCCAAACAATGTTTACATACATACAAAGGACATACGAAAGGTGTTCAGAAAATACATTATTTTCCTGTATCAGCACATTTGTTTTTAACATGTTCAATGGATTGTAAGATTAAAGTAAGTAAAACTATTCTTTATAGATTTCACACTGTAAAATGTTTTTTATTCTTTTTAGTTATGGGAATTTTACAATGAACGTCGTTGTATTCGAACATACATGGGTCATAGTCAAGCTGTACGTGATATTAATTTTAATAATCATGGTACCGACTTTTTATCAGCCTCTTATGATCGATATATCAAATTGTGGGATACGGAAACAGGTATGAGACTTCTTAATTCTGGTACATTCGAGTTATGTATAATTTCGTTTTTTTTTAATTTATAGGGCAAGTGAAAAGTAAATTTACCACAAGAAAAATTCCTTATTGTGTGTCGTTCAATCCCGATCCACATAAACAACATTTATTTGTGGCTGGAATGTCGGATAAAAAAATTGTTTGTGTAAGTTCTTTTGGCTGTAAACAATATTCATATTACTCTCATTCTTCTCGTTATTTAGTTTGATACCCGCAGTGGTAATGTTGTCCAAGAATATGATCGACATTTAGGTGCAATTAATACGGTGACATTTGTTGACAGAAATCGTCGAATTGTATCGACATCTGATGATAAATCTATACGTGTATGGGAATGGTATGTTTATATATTATTTAATACCTATGAACTTATTGTGGCTGTCTTTTCTTCATTTAGGGATATACCGGTTGATTTTAAATATTTAGCTGATCCGACAATGCATTCTACACCAGCTGTTTCTTTATCACGAAATGGTCTGTATATTATTTGACTGTTATACGCGAGATATTAAACTAAATTTAATATTTTTGTTTCAGGTAAATATCTTGCCTTTCAGTCAATGGATAATCAAATTAAAATTATGGAACCTGGCTCAAATTTTCGATGGAAGAATAAAAAAGTGTTTAAAGGTCATATGGTAAGCATTTACTCGTTTGGTTTTACAGTTTAAACTAACTAATTTTGTATGATTGTAGGTTTCGGGTTATGCATGTGGTTTGGATTTTTCACCTGATATGTCCTATGTGATTAGTGGTGATGCTGATGGACGATTAATTATTTGGGATTGGAAAACGACAAGATTATTTGAACGTATTAAAGCACATGATGATGTTTGTATTGATGTTAAGTGGCATTGGCATGAAAAATCAAAAATTTTAACAGCCGGATGGGATGGTGTCGTTAAACTATGGGACTGATCTAGTGTGTGTTGAGATTATTTTTGTTATTTCTTGTTTTTGTACAGTTTTATACTTTGTTTTCTCTTCGTGATGGTTTTATATGTAATAAGACAACCATGAAATTGAAATTTGGTGTCATAAAATAGAAACTATAATTTGTGAGTAAAACGACGTGAGATGTACAAGTCTACAATAATACAGGAAAATCTAGGATTTCTGAATGTGAAGTTGAAATATAATACATCAAACTCAAACAGCTCAATAAGCTCAAAAACACTTATAGTTTTCATATTGGTAGTAAACCTTTAGTCCGACAATTTGTGCATGGTATTCCATAAATAACCGGTACTGAGCACCCGTGTCTAACAAGTGTCGTGCTAAGTTCTATATATTTTTACTGTCATGTAGGATGCTGCACCACTATGATACATCTCTTATAAGGAGGAAAAGCTACAGTCAAAAAGACGTTCGAAATATTAGAAGTTTCCTGTGATGTTTATGCAGCTATTGTGAGAAAACTATATCGGTGACTGAAAAAATTGGCACTGACGTCAGTCATCTCTGATTTTAATCGATGCTTGAAAAAATTATTATGCGGTATCATTACCGTGCAAGTTTTGGTAAAAATGTTCGGTGTTTGGAGTCATTCGTTCCTCATTTCATTGACGATCTCATATTTTTTTCATAGTTATTTTTAATTTTTAAATTAGTATATTTTTATTTTGTTTGATTTTTAAAAAATCAAACAAAGTTGCACAAAAGTAGAAAAAACTGAATTGTAGTAGACTATAAAAGAGTGCTTGAAGCATTCATTGTTGTATTTTAGTATGACGAGTTTCTACTAACATAAAAACATTCTTTGAATTAAGCGAAAAAACTTAATGAGGATAATCAAAAGCTTGGTTACTCAAAGTTGAATTACAAACACTATATAGATGCTTAAGGGCCCCCCACCCCTCAAAAAAAGCATTTTTCGTCAAAAAAAATCGATTTGGGCATTTATGCATAGTTGTATAGCCCAATATATCTGCTTTCGAATGCACTATGATTTATTGGTTTTACTATGGTTTTTGAGGGTTTTACAGCGATTTTTCTGAGGCATCCAACATCAAAAACTGATTGATTTTTTATGGTTTTCCCGTGGGAATAACGCTTAGATATGGAAAAAAGTACGTCGCTCTCTACATGTGCTCATTCGATTCGCCATAGCCGATAACCTACGACGAACTGCTCTCAATTTTTCCGCTGTACCACTCTCCAAAAAAAACGCGATAATCAAAGGAGAAACTTGTTTTTCGTTTTTCTCGAAACTTTCTTTTTCGTTTTATTTGACTGTGTGTCAAAGATTTCTCCGCCATTTTAAATGTTAGAAAGCTCGGGAAGGTTTTAAAATGAAGGTAAATATCAGCGCTACAACCTAACAAAGTCGGAATTTTTGTTTTCAGTTTATTTGTTTACAAAAAACTCGAGTTTTCTAAAAAATTAATCTAGATTTTTCGAAAAAACTGTCTAAAAGAATTAATTTTTTTTCAAAAATCCGGCTTTGTTAGGTTGTAAGGGCAGGTCTTCTCTACATTTTGACACCATCCCGAGGTCCGTATCATTAAAACTGAAAACAAAATCTTTGACACACGGACACCTACTTTTTGATCCTTGATGTTACAATAACTCGCGAAAAAATCAATATTATGAGCTCAAATTTTTACTGAGAACTATCAATAGTCAGATACATATTCAATAAAAATTTCAGTAAGATTGAGTGTTCTGGGAAAAAAGAATTTTAGAGGGGAGGGGGGCCCTTAAGACAACGTATTTGATAATATTCTATAATGACAGTATGCCTAAATCATTGGATCATAAATAAACTAAAGTAGTTTGCCGGTTAAACTTCTATATTAACTGCTTTCTTTCAAATGTTTGAGTATCCATACAAGTCGAGTTTGATAAATTGAATGGGCATTGGTGGTAGAGTCACGATGGTACTACCATAGTTGTACAATGTCAAATTTTTTGAACAATTTTTTGTCATATATTTTCGATGATATTTTGTTTTATTTTCAATGCTAGCTAGATCAACAACTTTCTGTTGTTGTTGTTGTTGTTGTTGTTCTTGTTCTTGATATTTATAGTTTTTCAATAACGAGGAAGAAGTGGGCGAGTTATGTTTGAGAAATTGATTCCGATTCGGTAACCAATTATAATCAATCGAACTGTAAGGTGGGGGTGGTGGTAAACTTTCTTCTGGATGTGAAAAAGATTCGGGCTGAATGATATCTGATGATAATTTAGACTCTTTAAATCGAGTCTGATGCTAGAAAAAAAACGATTAGTCAATTATTAGCGTTTGCGATTTAATTTATTTGATCTGAGCCACACTTCTTTTAGTTCGACGTCAAATTTTTCTCTTTCTCTGAATACAAAGGAGCAACATAATGATAATTACATATACCCTTCTCACTCGCCGTTTCAATGTAGTCATATCTTCTTTTGAACGATATGATGAGTTTTTGGCATATCTATATTCTTTTTTAATAGTAGTAGCTGTCATTTTTCCGTCAATCACATTAACAAAACAATCCGTGAAATGAGTATCAGCAGTCGAAAAGTCATCGAATGTACTGAGTTCATCTGAAAGATATATAAAGGAAAACAGATGGATATTAGACGTTAATGGAAACATCTCTTAACTGACCTTTTAGAGCATTTATTCGATATTTTGAAATTAATTCAATTGATTTGAATTTTTTTGTTAGTTCATTTATATTCGATAGAGATCGATCGCTCTCGGACATAGTTTTGATAGCGTTATTTTGACCAGTTAATGTGTCACAAGAATTTCGTTGGTATTGATATTTTTGCAAAGTAACATTTTCTTTGATATACTGAAAGAATAGATTCAGTTATAATGAAGACATTGAGCAGAGTGATTTCTAGTTTAATTTACATCTGAATTTTTGCCGATATTTTTTTGAATTGGACTGCATTTCAATCGTGATGAAGATTCTTGATGCCATTTCGCTTTTTCTCGAGATTTTTTATGCTGATCTGTTGAAGCTGAATGTTGTTGGATCTAAGAACATAGACAGCATGGTACTATGACAAAGATATGAATTTGTCTGTTTTTGAATAGTTAAGCAGTACTGTACGTGTCGCTTTTGAGTTGCTCTTTCAAATGGCATAAAAAGTTTAGCTATTGTTACATTGTTTTCATCGGTGTCGTACGATGACTCATGACATCCTCTAGTCGGTTTTTAGCAATTGTTCGATTTCCTACGAAGTATTTAAAACTTCATGTTACTCGGTCGCGCATTCTGCTACAGTTACATTCTATTTATTTCAACTTTCATTGAATCGTGTTGCAGACACATAGTCTACATATATGTTACAGACAAAATTAGAGTTCAAGCAAAAGTGGAGTTCGCATAAGACTTGAAATCGGCTCGGCCCCCACTAACTTTTACGGCTCCAATCGGTACAAAACTCATCAACATATTCCATGATTCCGGCCCTTCCAAGAACTTTCAGACGAATATACCCGACAGAATCTATTCGAAAACCAGCAACGACTTAGCAACAACAGCATGACTGTAAAATCAAAATTTATCCGTAACTATCCAATATGAAGCCTAGTGCAATAAATCATTCGATGCGCCTTGAAAAGCTTTTGAACACGTGCTAATAGGAAACTTAACGAAGCCTGGCAGCAGGTTTCATGAGTTTAATACTAGATTTTTCCATAGGTCGGTCCAAAAATTGTTCGCCACCTTTATTTTTCATTTTTGTCGTCGATCATAATAGTCAGAACAAATTTGAAAAAAGATTTGAACAGCTGAAAGAATTTCCTATCTGATGTACTGTACAAAAAGGTTAATAAAGTCTTGAGTTTAATCTAGAAATTCTTTGCAAAAACGTCCGTTGTGTAGAGCAAACATTTTTGAAAGAAATGAGACACTCCGAGCTCTTTACGACATTTTTTCATGAAACAGCATTCAATTTACGGAAGGTCCCATACCAGCAACACTAACGAGAAAACAAGTAGATGCGCGCTTAGGATCCTCCGTAAATTGAATGCTGTTTCATGAAAAAGTGTCATAAAGCGCTCGGAGATGTCTCATTTCCTTCAGCAATGTTTGCTCTACACGATGGACGTTTTTGCAAAGAACTTCTAGATTGAAGTCGGGGACTTGGTTTTCTGAGATTTTAGTTTTCCAGGCACCTTGTTTCAAGAGTTTTTATAGAACCTTTTTATACAGTACATCGGATAGGAAATTCTTTCAACTATTCAAATCTTTTTTCAAATTTGTTCTAGCTATTACGATCGACGAGAAAAATGAAAAATAAAGCTAGCGAACGAGTTTTGGATTCACTGTAGGTTTAATACTGCAGTATTTAATACCCAAACACCGCTGCCAAGCTTCGTTAAGTTTTATATTAACTCATGCTGTAGAGCTTTTCAAGGCACATCGAAAGATATATGAATGATTAGAGATCCTCTTTAGTTTCATAGAAAAAAGTGATGAAGAGTTTCCTTGGCATAGCCACGATCTATGGAAAAGTCTAGTATTAAACTCATAACCAAATTTTCTTTACTTAATTCTATATATTTTTTGCACAGATCGTCTTTTTTCGATAATTTATCTAATCAACACTTTTCCTATCAACTGACGTAAATATATTGGAAATATCCAAATAATTTTCCTTTATTTTTATCTTTTAAGTTATGAATAAAAAATGAAATAAAAGTTTTAAAGTTTGAATAAAGAGTTGTGTGTTTCTGATTAGCCTAACTCGAATTATGGAAAGAAAGAAAAGACATCTTAGTCCCATTCACAAGTATCGTACTATAATATCTAGAGCTTCTTTAGATATCTCAATTTCTAGGATGTCAGCCGTTACTGTATATCTTTATTGAAAACTCATGTTTTATCAGAAAATCTTGATTTCGTCAAGACAAATTTGTTTGGACTCTAATTTTGCTTGCAACATATATATAGACTATGTATCTGCAATACGACTCA